AAAACCAAAAAATTTATGTCTTGAGTATTATGGAATGTGTGTTGCTCTAAATGGAGAAAAGGAGGATTTTAGGGAAAAAAATCCAGACGATTCTGTTCTTAAAGAAGAGAGATCCGTTTCCTATTTGGAAGCATGCCAGTCAGTTTTTGTAGATGGAAATCTGATCGAATCAGCAAGATACGGCAGTATTTAGTGCCAGTGAAGGATGTTACTAGTTCTTAGAAATATATGAGCAGCAAAACAAGAATTGAGTGTTCCCTCTGCAGGCCCTCATTTTGGATTGTTTACTTTTGCTCTGTGGTTTCTGCAGCATCCGTATTATGTGACTGTATTTACTCACATGTACTTCCCCTTGCGTGGTATCTTTCCTCACATTTGTAAAGAAAGTATTTTAAAGCTCGTTTATTTTCCCCATTTGGTTGTCAGCAGCAGGAAAAGCTGCTGAAGGTGGGGTCAGAGCCAGCGTGAAAATGAGGGCCTGTGAGCTTGAAAGGAAAGAGAGAGCTTCTGCTGTCCCTGCTGCCAGAGTGACCTCAGGCCAACACCCTCCCCTCTGCCATTTGCAGAAGTTGGGCAGGATACTAATGTGTTACTTTCAAAAATTACAAAATACCACTATGTTGTATGTACAATATTCTGTTGTTTGCTCTTTTTAAAAAGACAAGAGAAGAAAATATTTGCCAAATTTTTAAAATGTGGTTCTAAAGTCTATCTTTACATTTTAATCTTAAAAAGTGTTTTATTTACTGGATGTCCTTATTTTGGGTATTTTTTTTCCCTGCAGTTAGTAATATTCTGTTGCTGAGAAAGCTCTCTATACAGTATTATTTGTGAAGTCTGTAGAAACGTAATGATGTTTCTGCCATATTGTTTTTAAAACATTTAAAATAAAGATTTTGAGCTTTTTAAAAGCAAGTTTTTCTTTCAGAATTTAAACCTTAGTACCACTGTATTTTCACCTAAGTTCCATTGTGTGAGTTGTCTGGTATTTTATTAAAAACCTATTCCATCCTCTTTGACCCTAACCAGACCAGTAAGATTGAGACATTGCACAGAGGTGGTCCTTCATAGGACTGTAGCCACAAATGTCAGTTCTGTGACCAAATAATCACCACTGTGGATTGGGAGCCTGACTTGGGAGCAAGGCACATTCCCACTGTTCATGGAGTTTAAAGACTGTGTGTGCTTTAGGGGAAAAGACCAACTGAATACAGAGGTTTATGAACCCTGACCTGTGAACCAAGATCAGAGTTCATTTCTCAGTCAGGGCCTGTATCCAGGTTATGGACTCGATCCCCAGTAGGGGGCATGCAGGAGGCAGCAAGTCAATGATTCTCTCTCATCATTGATGTTTCCCTCTCACTTCCTCTCTCTGAAATCAATAAAAATATATTTTTAAGTGTAACTTTAATACTTGAGCTATTTAGAAATTACTTCAATTTAAATAATGTAGAATTTCGATCAGTACCGGTTGCAGTCCGGGGGGCTGTTGTCCTTTCGACTTCAGTGCTGACTTTCCATGTTAGTTAGTGGTACCGGTTCCATTTGCTCTATGATGTAGAACAGATTGCATCTAGGCGTGCCTCTCTTTCTCTGTATTACATGGTGCTGTGTGAGGATGCCTCTCCGATTTTTCTTTTAATAATAACAACAGCACAAGCAGACATAGTCTTCTCAGTAAGTGCTAACTTCCTCGGGAAAACAGAAGTGCGGTGTACATCATTACATAACCTAGTTTCTCTGGTGTTAAAATTTTAGCATTTGAGAACTATTGGGAAGTCTTTGCACAGAACTGTGGGCCCTTGTGTTTTCCTGTCTTTGGGTAGAGATGGTCTTTGTCCACATCCCCATAAGAAAGCACAGTGACAGCTGGACTGTGTCATGAAGTTTCAGGCATGGCTCACTGATGTTGGTTTGACTCACAGTCCTGACTCCCAGCACAGAAGGTTGTCTTATGGATCAGTTCATTTGCATTGACACCTGCATACAATTACCAAATAAAATAGAGAGCACCGAAGTAAATGTGAATTTCAGGTAAACTAGGGTGTAAACTTACACTAAAAAGTTATTCATCATTCATCTGAAATTCACATTTAACTGGCCATCCTATATTTTATTTGGTAAGTCTGGCAACTGTATGCCTAATAATTCATATAAAATAATGTCATTGTGGGGATGAGCAATATTTCTCCTTCTGTAGGAATCACCTAAACCTTTAAGGTTGGGAAGTCTTTTCTTCGTAATTATTTCTTCAATGCTCTCCTCCCATACATCCAAATGAAAATGTATATGGCATGTAGCTCATTGTTTCACATTCCTGACAGCAATCCCTGTGGGCTTCTATAGTCATAGTATCATTTTGGTAAGGCTCAGGCACGGGCAGCAGGTGGGTAATATCTTGACTTCGGACACCCTTTCCCCATGCCACATACAATCCCCCC